ATCAATCAAATCTTAAAATCTTGAGAAACTTTAAGAAAAATAAGGCAATTCCTATTTATTTTTCGTAATAATTTACTTGAAATGATAAATAATAATAATAATACGTGACAATTAAATCATTAAATTAAGTTCTTCCAGAAAGGAATCACATCAAAAAAAAAAAAAAAAAAAATAGTACTAGTAGTAAATGAAGATTTAAATACAAGAACTTAAATTTTAGAAAAATAATCCTTGGATAACGTTGGATCTGGAACTATCGTGCGATCTCCACTTTTCCAGTTCACTATAAGGGGGAAAAAAAACATGAATTTTGAATTATAATTGTGTATATATATTCATATGCATATTTTTACCTGGACAAACTTCACCGTGTTTGTTTGTGAACTGAATGGCTTCTACAAGACGAAGTGTTTCATCAACAGATCGACCTACGAGTTTAATAATTATTAATTAGGATGTTGTAAACTTGAAAAAATATATATTCTTTTAATTACCGATCTGAGTATCGTTAACATGTGCAACGCGAAGAATACCCTGGAAAAGAAAACATTATTAATATTTATTACATATGATAAATTCAAATCTCGCATTTTACATACCTTGTCATCAATAATGAAAGTACCCCTGTAAATTATTATGATTTTTTTTTTTTTAAAAAAAATTATTTATTTATTTTTTAGCACGTCTCAAATGATAAATTAATACACACCTGAAAGGAAATCCATTTTCTTCATACAAGCATCCATATCTTCTTGTAATCTTTTTCGTTTGATCGGCAACTATCACAAAAATATATTATATACCTTACAAATTCCTGTAACTTTAATTCAATCACTCTCGTAATACTTACTCAAAGGAATCCTTTAAATAAAGATAAATTAATTTAACGACTTGTATTTTAATAATATAATAACGCGCTATACTCACTTGATACCACCAAGTCCACCTTGACTTTTTGGCATTTTACTAATTAATTAATTATGTAATTACTTTTTGTTAAATAATAATTATAAATTATTAATTTGTTATAAAATAATTATTATAAATCAAATCAATACTTACTCCCACGCGATATGAGAATGAGGTGAATCACAAGAGATACCAACTACTTCCGTATTAAGGTCTTTAAATTTTTGGATATTATCCCTTGTCGAATTGAAGTTACGTGTCAATAATCAAGTTAACTCAATTTTTCCTAAAAATATTTTTATACTTACGAGAAGGCAACCATTTCAGTCGGACACACTGTAAATATAATAAAAAAAATTAAGAATATGATAAAGGAAAACCTAACGCATATCACATTCCTTACCAAAAGTCCAATCCATAGGATAAAAAATCATAACCAAATATTTAGAAATATAGTCTTTAAGTGAAAGTGGTTTAATAACTCCATCAACAGCTGCAGAGGCTTCCCATAAAGGTGCGGGTTTCTGTTCTTTATCAAACATACTTTATTATGCTATATATATGAATTATCTTAAACAAATGTCCACTTTAAACTTACAGCTACTCTGGCTACTTCTTCATATCTATAACGGCCATAATTATTATTATATGCCCGTTGTGGTAATTTAATAGTTGTGGTATTATGAATAATACGTGTGTTCAAAAATCGCGTGCCAAAATTACGTAAGGCAATCATTCTAAATAGAAGTCGGAATTTATATTATAGCCTTGAGCGAAGAAAAAAAAAATTTGATCAGAAAAATTCATCAAATGATTATCTACAGAATTTTTTCGAGATGACTTTTTATCCAATCATCCAAGCCTGGAAATTTAATGACGTAATGTTACATCATTTCTGAGACCTTTTTCTTATACAAAATTCGGGGTTCAAAATTTTAAGTAACCTTCAATTTTCGTTCACTTTGTCTGGTTTTAATTAGTAGACTTCGGTTCGTAAAAAAAATGTCTGAAATCGAACATATTGACCCTTTCGCAGGCATCACGGTTAGTGATTCTGAAGAAGAGATCGAGCAAGTTTTTGAAGCACCGACTAGACCAGTAGTGGCGATAAATTATCAGTATAATCCAGAAGTTAAAACTAACTTCTGTTGTCAAGTTGATAGAGATATTCACGTTGAGGGCACCGTCATTTTGATTAATGATGCGCAGAAGACGACTGACAGTAGTGGAAGTTCATATATTACATACACAGTGAAAGTAGGGGTATGTAATCATATGTACCAAAATTCTCTCCCTAGTTCAAAGAAATTTATTACCATACTTTTTTGGTGATTATAGGAAAAAGAGGTTAATCGGCGGTATTCAGAGTTCGAATCCTTAAGGAAGAGTTTAATGAGGTTATATCCTACTTTGATAGTTCCGCCAATTCCGGAGAAACATTCAATTGGTGATCTATCATAAATTCTTTGCTATTCTTAATGGAAAGGAAGCGAGATGCTTCTTTTTCAATTGTGTCAATTGATTTTGACTTGTAATGTGACATTGATTAGCTGATTACGCGACTTTGCAAAACAAGGCCAAAGAAGACGTCGCGATGATCGAAAAACGTAAAAGAATGTTACAGAGTTTCTTAAATCGCGTATCCAGCCATCCACAGCTTTCAGACGAGCATGTATTTCATAAATTTTTGGAAACTGGAGTTTCCTGGGTATAATTTTATTCATAAATTTTATGATTTATTACAAATTTTTTATTTTCACTGCAATCTTACTTTATTATTTGGTATATCCATTTAGAACGAGGTGTTACACTCTCCTCCGCTTTCCAATCTGCCAAAAAACATTCTTCAGGCATCTCCCGCTAACCTTTCATCTTCGTCACCTACTAGTAGCGCAGCTCAACAGGCTACTCTTCCTAATCCAAGTGCATCTCAACACTTGAAGAATCCCGATCCACAATTTGTAGAATCTGAAGCCTTTACTAACAAATTTTCATATCATATAAGTCAAAACTTGGAAAAGACAAATAAGAGAACTTGGAAACGCTTGAATGGTACTCCTTAATTTGATATTCTGTGTATAATAAGGTCCAAGTGGGAAGTAAAGTTCATAATTATCTGACATATGAATTATCTCTACTTTATATAATACAGATCTATCAACTGATTACGCTGAACTAGGTGCAATTTATAATGGGTTCAGTTTAAATGAACATGGCGAATTATCTAATGCAATTGAAAAAGTGGGTCAGGCTGTTGATTCATCTTATATGGCTACAGGAACATTGGTAATACTAATTTTAAACAAAAGTCCTAATTAAATTAGAAATAAAATAAATTATCTTAATATCATCTCTGGATTTTCTCTTTTTCTTACCTTATAAGATTTCCTCACTTGAAGCTGGATTTTCTGAACCTTTACAAGAGTATTCGCAATTTGCTCAGGTTATCAAACAGGTTCTTAAATATAGACACCTAAAACATTTGCAAATGGAGCTTACTGCCGATACATTAGAAAAACAAAGAGGGAATTTGGAATCTTTGGAAAAATCGGAACAAGAAGCGAAAAGGTTAGAAGAAGCTCTAGCTAAAGAGCAAGGTATTCAAGATAATTCCATTCAAGATCCACCACCTAACCCTGATGGAGAAAATAACGAAAATCTTATTGGAGAAAATGATCAATCTGAAGAACAATCTCAGAATGGGGATTTATCACCTCTTCCTGGAGGAAATAAATCTCATCAAAAGAGACGCAGCGGGTCAAAGCTTTTTTCTGTACTTAGTCATACAATTCATGGAATTATAGACGTTGATCCCGAAGCTACTCGCAGAAATAGCATTGGAAAAACTAGAGATTCTATAATTCAGGTTTGACATAAATCAAATGTTTATTTGTATTTGTATTGCTTTAAAGATGATTGTTTTTATGTGATCTTATTGTATTATATATATTATCCTAGCTTGAAGAAGCTCTAGTAACAACTACGGAAGATTTAAAAAATATTTCGGTTTCTATTCAGAGTGATTTAGATCGTTTTCAGCGTCAAAAGATTCGTGATTTAAAAAATATGCTTATAAATTTTGCCAAGATCCATGTAGAATGGTGTCAAAAGGTTCGTGCATAATTATGTAGTAACAATTATTTATTTTCCAATTATAATAATCTTTAAAAATTTTTAGAATTTGGCCAGTTGGGAAGAAGCTAAAACCGAAGTTGAAAAAATTCAGACGTAAATTGTTTCCCTGGAATAGAAAAGCACGTTAATTTATTTACTTTGATAAAAAGCAAATATTGCGTTAAATTATTATGTATCATTGTCTTTTCAATTTATCTTTACTTTTATTAATTTGTGGTATAGTATCAAAAGTCATTGTAAAATATAACAATTTCTTTATGGACTTTTATATTTTCGATTCTTTTTAATATAATTTGGGTATCATGTAGCCTAAATTGGTTGTTATCTTTATTTTGTTTTTTTTTTTTTTATTTCCGATTTTTTTCTTTGAAAATAAATCACGAATCTTGAAATTTATATAAATAGCACTTGGGCCGGATATTTTACCCGTATTACAGTTATCTACAGTAATTGTTAGTAGGTAAAAACTTCAAAATTTTTTTAAGGGCCGTTATCTTCTAAAATCAATGTAATCAACGAAATTATGTTAAGAAAAAATAAAAAATAGTGTAAAAATCTTTGGGTTACTGTATGCAAAGTAAATTTGACATTATAATCCCCTTGACCTGAAATTCCTGATAAGTAATACTAAATGTCAATAAAATTTTTTTTAATTTAGAAAATAAGATTTTAGATAACGTTGATTACTAAATCTTATTAGATACTGATGGGAATTAAATATAATTTAATTTGTGAGGGTAGCCTTAAAACTTCAGTTAAACTTAGTGATCTACTACCTAAAATTATATTGAGTTAATTTTAAAAAGTGAAACTGTAATTTGACAAATAATTACTTATTTTAAAATTTTAAAGTTATACATAATTTATTAGAAACTTAAAATTATAATATATTTACTAATAATTATATTATTTGTTTTATTATTTTAATAAACTTGAATAATATCTTAATATATTTAGAAATACTAAAACTATAAAAATAATTATATATAACTGCTAATTTTAGACTGATATTGAAATTTTAAAATAAACTATAAAAAGAAGTTGAATATAAAATAGCAACTTTGGGATCAGTATATGTTGATTATTAAAAATGGTAAAAATTATTAAGGAAATTTCAAATATTATATTAAATTTAGAGTTTAAAAGAAATTGTATTAATATTTATAATAAACAATTAGCATAATTTGATTTAAAGCTTTTTATTCTTGAGTATTTTTTTTATCTATATTATAAAAGTAAAATTATTTGTAATTTTATAATTTAAATTATTATAAATCTAATAGAAAATTAATTATTTTTTTATTTTTAATAAAGCATTAGGATTTCAAATATGAAGTTTCAAAATGTTTGTCAATTTTCTATTAAGTTGTGAATTAAAAATATGAATGGACATGAATTTAGTAATAAAATTCTTATAGAATAAATAATTGCTTATTGAAATAGAAAATATCTATATAATGAAATGTTTGATTTATAGGATAGATCTGTTTTCAATTAGTGAAATAATATTGAATAAAAAAATAATCATATTCAAAAAATTATTCTTAAATTAGCATCAATTATATCTCAATAAGTGGCAATTGAAAGAGCTTTTTCAGTTTTAAGTTAATTAATTCAAAAAAAATAAAATCAATAAGAATGATTATTAATTTACTTATGTTATCAGCGTTGAAAATTTGCCTTAGAAAAATGATTTACAAAATCATTAGATTTAATTTTATGTATATCATATTAAGGAAGATCTTGATCGACATATTGCATTGGAAAATCAGGCTAATTTATTTAATTTGAAGGCTTTGCAAAATTCATCTAATATGCCTGTTTCTTCTGTATTTTCTATACAGTCTGTTTACTCTGTTTCAACTGTAATTTCTTTAACATCTGTAATTTATTTTATTTCTTTTTATTATTTTTATTATTTATATTATCTTTATTATTTTATTATATTTAAGTATATTTTTATTGAAGTATGTATCTATATTTAGTTAATTTATAGCGTAGCAAATAGTTAGCCATAGCAAATTCATTCTGTATAAATAGAATAGCTTTTTGCTTAAGTTATAAAAAAACTCCTCTGCAAATTTATTAACTCATTTGTAAGTTTCATACGAGTTTCAAGTTATAAATAAAAGAATCAATTTAAATCCATATAAACTACTTTTCCCTTCAACGTTGTCCTTCATCTAGGATTATTGTAATACCCTATACTAACTTGCTATTAAGTTCGTTATTACGAGTTCAACTAACATATCTTAAATTCTAAGACATGATAAATTGCTGAGTTGATTTAAGTATAATGGATACCTGTAGGACTTAAAGAAAATCCTAAGGTCAGAAACTCCAACATGTAGAATCAGCTGTCGCAACCTTTCAATTTAAACGTTAAGATAAACAAAAATGAACCCGGTGATAATGTATATAAATTTATATATTTAATAAATTATTCTTTTTAGTCTAGATATAAATTATCTTTTAGATATTTCTACATTTACTCTTATTATATTACTAATGTAATTATAGAATTAAATTATGTTAACATATTATAAATAAAAAAATTGAAAATATTATATCTTGAGTTACATATTGTATATTTACAGAAAC